ATTCGTAAAAGGGGAATAACCCTTTCTAAAAATAATAATACATCAAAGTCCCTCAGACAGGGGTAACACAATATTGCAATGTGGATAAAACATATGGGAAACCCGACAGGGTAATTCCTTTATTTCAATGACCAGATATAACATCAACTGATCATAAGGTACATTTTATGATAATTTAATACACATAATGAAAAACCACCTTCAAATAAGGTTAATTTGAAAATAACAAGAATCTCCAACAAGATTGTAGTTTTGAAAAAAAATGTAAAACTCAGACCATTCATATTCATGAGAAAGTGTAGATTACCTAAACAAATCATCTGTAAATGGTCACAACTAACCACAAAAATGTCACATGATCAATGTGGGCATAAAAAAAGAGTTACATTCTTGACAAACAGTCAGCCACAATATTATCAGTTCCTTTAATATGGGAAATTACAAGATTAAAGTTTTGGAAAAACAAGCACCATCTTAATATTCTGTTGTTCTTTTGTCCTAACTTAGTGGTGAATTTAAGAGGGTCATGATCAGAGAATACCATGACCGGATTTATGGAGGAAGTGACATAAACCTCAAAATGTTGTAAGGACAAAACCAAAGCTAATGCTTCCTTTTCAATGGTGGAGTAATTTGTCTGGTTGTCATTCAACTTTCTAGAAAAGAAAGCAATTGGGTGGTCAATCCCTTGGTTGTTTTCCTGAAATAAGACTGAGCCAATGGCTAAGTCGCTTGCATCAATAGCAAGTTTGAAAGGCTTGCTAAAATCTGGTCCAGCCATAACAGGCACATTAGATAAAAATGATTTAATGTCTAAAAAAGCTTCATGATATTTAGTTGACCATACAAAGTCAACACCCTTTTTTAACAAAGTAGTCAGGGGTTCAGCAACAGCTGAAAAATTCTTTTAAAAAAACCGCCTGTAGTAACCTGCCATCCCAAGGAACTTTTTGATTTCCTTACAATTTTTAGGAGGAGGCAACTTCACAATAGCACTGACTTTAGCTTCAATGGGCCTAATCTGGTTAGTTCCCACTTTATAACCCAAATAGGTAACTGAACCTTTACCAAAATCTCTTTTATGCAGGTTTACAGTGAAATTAATTTTTGACAATTTTCTGAAAAGGTTAGTCAACTGAACAATGTGCTCTTCAAATGAATCAGAATACACTACAATATCATCTACAATATCACATAATGGTGAGTATGTACTCGTTGCCCGCCTTGGTTTTTGGCAAAGGGCCGAAGCAGTCCATGATGATTTTGGTGAAGGGTTCTTCTAACACGGGAATCGGATTCAAAGGGGCCTTAGGAATTTTCTGATTGGGTTTCCCGGCCAACTGACAGTTCGTGCAACTTTTGCAGTAACGCGACACATCATTTCTCATTCTCGGCCAAGAAACAGTTCTCTGATCTTTGCCATCGTTTTCATGATTCCTGGATGCTCTGACATCGGGTTGTCATGGGCCAGTTTAAGGATTTCCTGCCGATAAGGTGGAGGGACCCACAGTTGGTTTTTTCCCAACCATGGTTCGGCAGGTGAGGCAGTCACTGGTAAAACACGACGGAAGATCAGGTCATTCGTGGTGAAAAACTCCCCATCGTCAGCCGAGATGGATTTCTCGACCACCGATTGGAGTTCTGCGTCGTCTTGTTGAGCCTTTACGATGTCATCATGAGAAATCCTCAGAGGCAATTCCATGAATGGACCCTCTAGAGGCACAGGTTCCAGTTTGGGAACTGGATTTCTTGACGATGTTGATTTGTGTGGATCAGGCGCTGAATCAGCCAACCGTTTGGTCTGGCTTCTTGTCACCACACATGCAGGATACAGTTCATTTTCATCATCTGGAACTGTTGATAACGGGTTCTGCACCTTCTGAGGGTATACTTTGCTTCCCGCTAAGTCATTCCCTAGGAGCAGGTGTACTCCTGGGACAGGGATACATTCGATGATCCCTAGGATGACCTCTCCTTGGACGAGATGATGTTTCAGGTTAAACTTGTGCAGAGGGACTACAGTGGGTTCTGCCCCCACTCCTTGGATAATGGTAACATTCCCGGTGTTCGTCTCCGGTGTAATGTCCATTGAACCCTTCAATAGAAGTGACTGTGAAGCCCCTGTGTCTCTTAGTACTATTTTGTTCAGCTTGGACAACGGATCACCAGGGATGCTAATGACAGCCTCTGCCAGGAACGATGAGAAGCCAACCTTTCTCGATCCCTCGAGATCGGTTGCCTCTGAAGAAACTGGAGGGTGGATTGGACAGTCAAAAGATGACTGAACGTAGGCGGTGGAAACTTGATTCCTTTCCTGTGGACACTTAGGGGTAGTGTAATCCTGAAGAGTAGAGTTCAAATTTGAACTGGCTGCCTGATGGAGGAGAGCGTTATGCGCTGATGTACGCACAACCTCTCTGTTGACTCGATGCCGCTTATAACAGTCTTTTAGGAAGTGTCCAGGTTTCTTACAGTATTGGCATACTGCTCGTCGACTGGGAGTGGTTCTGGGCTTCTCTATTGACTGGAACGACTTCGGAGATTGGCCAACAGGGAAAAGTTGCCAATGAGGGGGAGTACCGGATTGGGTCGGTTACTTGACACTTGTGATCTTTTATGAACCAGCATGTATGTGTCTGCCGACTCAGCAGCCTTCTTAATGTCAACTATCCTATTATCTAGGATATGTAGACGGATCTCTACGGATAGGGAATTCAGAAATTCTTCTCTCAGGACCAGAGATTTGAGCTTTTCAAACTCTGCGACTTCTTCTGAGTTGAGCCACCTCGAGAAAACTTTTTCTTTCTCGAACAGAAACTCCACATAGGATTGTGTGGGCTGTTTTCTGAGTTTTCAAAATTTCATCCGATAAGCCTCGGGCGTTAACTCGTAGGCTTTTAAAATGGCAGCTTTGACCAGTCCATAATTAAGTTGTACATCCCGAGAGAGTGCCTGGAACGTACTAGCAGAAATTGTATGAAAATCAGTTTAATATTGAATATAATAATTAGATAAGAGAAATTGTATGAAAATCAGGTTAATATTGAATACAATAATTAGATAAGAGAAATTGTATGAAAATCAGTTTAATATTGAATATAATAATTAGATAAGAGAAATTGTATGAAAATCAGGTTAATATTGAATACAATAATTAGATAAGAGAAATTGTATGAAAATCAGGTTAATATTGAATATAATAATTAGATAAGAGAAATTGTATGAAAATCAGGTTAATATTGAATATAATAATTAGATAAGAGAAATTGTATGAAAATCAGGTTAATATTGAATATAATAATTAGATAAGAGAAATTGTATGAAAATCAGGTTAATATTGAATATAATAATTAGATACTAGAAATTCTTTGAAAATCAGGTTAGTATTGGATACAATAATTAGATACGAGAAATTGTATGAAAATCAGGTTAATATTGGATACAATAATTACATACGAGAAATTGTATGAAAATCAGGTTAATATTGGATACAATAATTAGATACGAGAAATTTTATGAAAATCTGGTTAATATTGGATACAATAATTAGATACGAGAAATTGTATGAAAATCACGTTAATATTGGATACAATAATTAGATACGAGAAATTGTATAAAAACCAGGTTAATATTGGATACAATAATTAGATACGAGAAATTGCATGAAAATCAGGTTAATATTGGATACAGTAAATAGATACGAGAAATTGTATGAAAATCAGGTTAATATTGGATATAATAATTAGATACTAGAAATTCTTTGAAAATCAGGTTAATATTGGATACAATAATTAGATACGAGAAATTGTATGAAAATCAGGTTAATATTGGATATAATAATTAGATACTAGAAATTCTTTGAAAATCAGGTTAATATTGGGTACAATAATTAGATACGAGAAATTGTATGAAAATCAGGTTAATATTGGATATAATAATTAGATACTAGAAATTCTTTGAAAATCACGTTAATATTGGATACAATAATTAGATACGAGAAATTGTATGAAAATCAGGTTAATATTGGATACAATAATTAGATACGAGAAATTGTATGAAAATTTGGTTAATATTGGATACAATAAATATATACGAGAAATTGTATGAAAATCAGGTTAATATTGGATACAATAATTAGATACGAGAAATTGTATGAAAATTTGGTTAATATTGGATACAATAAATATATACGAGAAATTGTATGAAAATCAGGTTATTTTTAGATACAATAATCAGTAGATGTTAAACAATGGTTACAGTTAACCACGCGTGACAACCATTTTTCTTTTCAATTTGTGTAACGTGTAGATTTAACAACGGTGTGTCCAAAGTGTTGAGAATTACGTGTAACTAGGCAAAAATAAATACTAATCTTTATAATCTATATATTGTTAGATTACTAATTACTTTGTATAGGTTTTTAAATTTGTCTAATTATGAACTTTAAAATTTTAAAGAAATCACCCAGCCATGAAGTTTATTAATATTTATTTATAGCTAACACGTAGCTGAAAGTTCCTTTTCGACGTGTAACATCGGGAATTTTGTGGTTAAATAAGGAATTCATAAACGTTGTTGCCGATTATCTTAAATATTTAAAGGATTGTCTGATGATGTATATTTTCTTTCCAGCACAGTCAAGTGTGATCTAGTTTATAACTACAGTTTCAAATAGTCCATAGTAGACAACACGGTATAGGCCTAGATAGGCTAGATTAGCAGTAATGTTAAAGTATAAAAACTAATTAAACTTCGATATAACTTTATTCTACTTATAATCGCTTCTTGGAATTGTTTTAAAAAGGTCATGTACTCAAGTTGTTATCTAACATGTTTGATGCTGTTGGCTAATAATACATATTCAACATTTCCAATTAAAAAAGAATAATTAAGTAGGCCTGTGATGCTTTAGCCTAAATGCCAACACACAACGGGATTTCCCGCTAACGTGTCGGTATTTAAAACTCTCGCCTTACGTGGCACACAGAACTCCCGATTTAGAAACATTCAATATGGCCGCTACAAGACTGTAACAAGTAAACACGTATTAATATTTTTTCACGTAAGTAATCAGTAGCCCGTCCCTGAGTCGACCCAACTCTGATGGGTACCTAACTCACGTTAGGGAAAGTAAAGGCGGCTGGGCATAGTGCTGATCACACTATCCTTTCATTTGCCGAGGTCACAGAAACAAGTGAACTCTACTTCACTTTGCCCTATAGACCGTCAGGTTTGAAAGGGAAACTTTACTTTTTTACTTAATCGGAATATTAAACATTTAATGTACGTCTTTCAACAGTAAAAAATGTAATATACATTGAATGAAAAGCGGGGCTGTATGTCGTTTAAGAAACATCATTATTAATTTAAGAGTATAAATAATTAAAATAATTCAAAATTAACAAGATAATTTGCGAGACATGTGTTATTTCATGCATTTGGTTGTATGTTCTTTTTACTTTCTCGTATATACGAAGTATAATAGAGAAAGTCTTGTAATCGTGCAAAAAAAAAAAAATCGAGATTTTTACAAATCTCGACGTTTTACACCTCACTGATATGGAAAAACATAATTTTGCAATCTTGTCTGAGTGTCTGTCTGTCTGTCTGTGTGTCCGTGTGTAAACACGATAACTTGAATACCGTTACAGCTAGGTTGATGAAATTTCATATATCAAAATCGTAGATCCGTATCAACTTTTGAGCGATTTCCGATAACCGGAAGGGGTACTTTTCCTACTTTAAATTTTTCAAAAGCATATAACTTGAGTACTATTTCAGATAGATAAATGAAATTTCACATGTAAGTAAAAGATCTAATTCTCTACCTTCTGTTAAATTTTTGAGTAATTTCCGTTGACCGGAAGTAGTAATTTATGCTACTTCCGATTTCTCAAAAAACGAATGTAAATTTTTAAAGGTCTAATAATATTGCGCACTATTATGCACTTTTTTATTTGTCGTTCACTTGGTGTGCAATTAATTTGTCTACGAGATTTTATTCTATTTTTAAAACTTTAAGTATTTAAAATGGATTGAAAATCATGTCTATAGCCCGAGTTCCCATCCCCTGTTATTTTATATTAGAATATTCGAGAGAGTTTAGGGGAGATCACTCCCGGTTTATTTTTTTTAGTAATCTATAATAACCTGAGATTATTTATAAGTGTGAAATGTCTAGACACACCAAACAAGATTGATTACACCTTTGACGTGTTTAGATTTACCATAAAATATTTATTATTTACTAATGTCGTAAACGCGAGTTATTTCAAATGTCAAAGTCCAGATCGTGATGAAATAACATACGACATAGGCCTACTTAAGCTGCAATTACGTCGAATATGTGGTTATGGTCTTCGTCATATGTAAAATGACACGTAAGATGCATATGTTTACACTTAAAAGACTGCCAATAAAAGAAATAAAAACCTGCCTATATCCGTCATTACAGAGATCTAGTATGTTCACGTGATCTACACTAAACAACTGTTGCTTGTTAAACGTCTGCAGATGTCCAAATATGGGCGGACATTGACAAGTAACGTCTGCAGATGTCAATAAATATGGACAGACATCCGATAATTTTTTTCAAGTTGTTTATGGTTAATCTTCCTCGATAACAGAAAATGTTTAATAAAACAATGAAGAACGGGTGTCGGTGTACACTGTGTCTGTGTAGATGTGTTTCTACAGGTGTCTATGTCTACATGTCTCCATGTCTACAGGTGTCCATGTCTACAAGTGTCCATGTCTACAGGTGTCCATGTCTACAGGTGTCCATGTCTACATGTGTCCATGTCTACAGGTGTCAATGTCTACATGTGTCAATGTCTAGAATTGTCCACGTCTAGAGCCTACAGTAAAAAAAAAACGTGTCTGGTATATAACTCAGGTTAATTCTTGTTGACGTCCACTTATAATTTCCTTACACATTGGACGGCGTGGTCGAGTCGGTAAAGCTTATGATTGCTAAACCGAAAAGTCTCTCTTCTAGTAGAGACAACTCCAAAATCAAACAACTGCTGCCTTGTAGTTTGTTCTTGGTTGGACAAAGGCTATGGAAGCAAACCCAAAAAGAAAAGCAGGCTGAAATCGGAGTCAATGGCCTCAATGGCGTATAACCAGTTGACACTTATCCTAAATTGTGATGGAGGCGTGGTCGAGTCGGCAAAGCTCAGGGTTGATAAATTAGAAAAAATCTCGAGTTCAAACCATCTGGCAGATAAGGCTCGATCCATTCCAATACTAAAAATTAAGAACGAAGAAGAAGAAGACTTCCTTACACAACTGGTGTGTGCGTTGTTGAGGATATAATTTCTACTAGTTGAACTTTATTAGGTAGTTATTAAGGGCTTTGTTCATTTTGTCGATAATTATTTACATTTAAATAATTATTTAAGAGTTTAGCCACGATATTTTAAGTAGTTTCATTCAAGCAAGTAATTTCTCTGTATTAAATTTCCAGTAAGTCAATGGATCACCTCCAATGATTGCAGAAGTTTCAATTAATTAACCTTGCATCGCTAGGTTTGATAATCGGTACTTTGGTTAATACAATTACTATTTCTATTTTCACAAATGGAAACTTATAATTTTTTAACAAAAGACGACGATATTAAATGTATCGGTATTTAGTCAAAACAATTCCCGAGGATTCGAAGTCGATACTCATATAATATCGATAAAGTAGTTAATATATTTTCCCGCCATTAGTAGGATGTGCAAAATTTACATAAATAAAAAACACTTTGTTTTAATTAACGTTCTATTAAAAAAAACTTAAATTCAAGTTTATATATCAGTAATAAAATGTTTTGAAAGTTGCTTACATATAATTCTTTTTTGTTTTTACACTCATTACTCAGTAGGCGATGCGTAGTATCAGAAACGATGTTAGTTTATAAAAGAAAACGCCGATACCTTCTGAAGGTAAGGCTTGCCAAATTGACAAACGTGCAGAAATTATTCTTTTAATTTTCAAGTTAATTAGAAGTAAATGCAATATGATGATATATATAATTACTATAAATGCATATTAAAATACTTAATAATCGAATTACAACAAAGACAGAATACATGTATTTACATAGCCTACTATTTACGTTATTAGAAATGTTTTTAATATCATACACGGAATAAAATATTGAATATAAGGACATTGAAGTTTTACGAATCAGAAAATTGTTCTTAATAAGAAAAATATTTTGGAAATAATCAGCTATTGTATCTTTTTTTAAAGTGTTAATTATGTATGTTTTATACTCACAAACGCGATTTAGTTTATACTTCCGGTAACTTATTTAGATTAAAATATTTCAGAATGAGGTGATCCATATCCATAGACATTTAATTTTGTCATTTAAATTATGTTAATGCCATGATTATAATTTGGCGGATTTATTGTACTGTAAGCTCCACATTTGAATGTAAACTTTATAGGATGTAAAATTAAATTGGAGGAACCTCAAAAGCATTTGCTCAACAGAATAATACGATTACCACGGGGAGTGAACAACAGACAGACTAGACGTGACAAAACTAGCCTGTAGGCTGACCAGTGACCAAGTTTGTTAGTGCCGTGGGGGGGGGGGGGCGATAATTTGTTAGTTGCCAATGTTGGGCCCATTGTCCCATAGGAACTTATATGGCAAGGTGACATAGATATAAAGACAGGCCAGTCACAGATTCGTTTGTCGGGCCAGTAAAGCATATTGCTGCTAAACTGAGTAGTTCCGAATTCAAACACCCGTGAACATGAGGCTCTATGTAATCTGTCGTTTGACCTAATTCTTTTTATCGTCGTCATGGTGATAATGGCTGTCGAAAACGACGAATCCGAATGTTTCATTGTCATTTCAGTAATATATACTTATAAGCGTTATTTCTGCGTATTATTCAACAATACTGCTCTCGTTTTAATAATTGACGAAAATTGCTTGATGCAATCCTACCATTTGTACATTTTAAGTATAATCGTTGAGAATATCGAGCTGAATCATATACATTAGGCAAAACTTTAATTACAGTATTTAATATTCTTGTAAAAATGCTCAAAATTATTCTGAACTATAGAAAATTATAAATTACGTCCTACTAAATTATTTTCATTAATTAAAAAGTAATATACAGTTTAAAAAACCTTCCAAAAAATAACTTTATCGAGATAACAGCTAACTAAGCCCATCCATTTTGCCGTGTGTATTTGAATGGGAATAAATCTAGTAAACGACACATTTCTACTGTACATTGAATCGCGTCACAACAACACTCCTTTAAAATTACCCCACCGTATCTGTCATATCGTCGTAGCCATTTAAAATTCAAGGAATTTTTTTTCACACATCATTTTCTAGGCTATCGATTAATTTTGATAATTGAAATTCGTATCAAATTCAAGGTAAATACATTTCGTCTTAATCATTTAAATAATCTTGGACAAAATTTTTTTAAACCGTTGGCGTTAGGCCTAATGGGGACAGTAAACAATCAAGGGGAGACAACTATAGAGTCAATCAATTAGGCCCGCAACTGCCTTAGGTTATAGAAGCAAATCCAAATTGATTTTAAAAATTATCATTAGAAGAGATATATTTTAACAATATTATTAAATTTTCTTAAAACATCGAACTTTTTCCAAAATCTTGCCAGAACTCTGTCAACATAGAGTATTTTGATCAATTCCTATTACAATTTATTAAAACCGTTTTCTAAAACGCGAAATAATGGCTAAAACTCGTTTTCTAACATTGTTTTTTTTAGAATGCAAAAAAGTGACGTCACACCATCTGAAACCCCACCCCCTCCCCCTCATCACACACCGTCACAAAATTGCGGACCCCCTTCCCTCTCGCTTACGAGTGTGAAGTCATTTTTGGACGACCCCACATCAATTTTTTTTTAAAGTCAAAATTGTCAAATTAAAAAACACAGAGTTTGTACATTTATTGCATAAATACAAAAATATAATACAGAATAATTAACAGTGTATCAGTTTTACCATGAGACAAATGCCTTTTTTTAAAAAAAATACAATACAAATAAACAAGTCGTGTTTTTTAAATATTCATTTTTTTTCATTTGCTAAAACAAAAATACAATACAAAAAAATAAATCGTGTTTTCTTAATGTTTTGGTGTGTTTCGGTTGTTATAATAAAATACGCTCAACTGGAGGTAAACAAGCAACGGAGAATAAAATACGCTAAAATCAACTAAAATGGAGTTTTACCGAATTCTAGATCTAGATCTAGATCTAGTAGCCTAGATCTAATTAATTACTAATTTCAATCTTGCCTTTTGTTTAAATATGGAGAGAATTATGATTAAATTGGTAGCAGTTTAAACTTTTACTACTACACTAGCCAAAACACTAAAACAAAAATGCCAGAAATTAAGCTAACATACAAAAACAAACCCTACATTACTAATACTAGACTGAATCTAGATCTATAATCTAGATCTAAATCTATATAGAATCTATTTATATAGATCTAGATCTAGGCCCTATTTAGTATTTATTGTGTTGTAAAAAAAGGTGTAAAAACTATCACTGTAACTGTGTAACACCATCAGCATAAAAATTTATATTAATGTTCTTTTATTTCAGGTCTTTAAATATTAAATAATGGTCCCTGTTCTATAACTAGTAACAGCCGAAAGCTAATTAGGCATTAAAGTAATTTAAAATTGCTAGGAAACTAAAAACTATTCAGTAATATCTTAGAGCAAAAAACCTTGTGTAAATTATTGTAAATAGCTAGATCTAGTAACCTGTAGAGTAATCAATGATAAGTGAATAGCTAGATCTAGTAACCTGTAGACTAATCAATTATAAAATGAAAGTTAAAACTCCTAAAATAATCAGGGCCTATTTTCATTCAGTTGCTAAGTCGATGCAATTGTTAAGAGATGAATTAACATAATTACAATTAACATATTTCTCTAATTAACTTTCCATGCAGGCCTATAACTTTTACGGACATTTCCAGGTAGATCTAGATACAAACATTTCTCCCCTGTGTTGCAAACATTTGACATCTTCAGGTTACATCACAATTATAAGAAACATGTTGTGTTCTTCTTTAATTGTTCATGATTCATCATAAATGTTGTCATTCTTTAGTTCTATGCTAATGACAGTTCCATCATAAATGTTGTGGTTCTCTAGTTCTATGCTAATGACAGTTCCATCATAAATGTTGTCATTCTGTAGTTCTATGCTAATGACAGTTCCATCATAAATATTGTCATTCTGTAGTTCTATGCTAATGACAGTTCCATCATAAATGTTGTCATTCTGTAGTTCTATGCTAATAACAGTTCCACCATAAATGTTGCCATTCTGTAGTTCTATGCTAATGACAGTTCCATCATAAATATTGTCATTCTGTAATTCTATGCTAATGACAGTTCCATCATAAATGTTGTCATTCTGTAGTTCTATGCTAATGACAGTTCCAACATAAATGTTGTCATTCTGTAGTTCTATGCTAATGACAGTTCCATCATAAATGTTGTCATTCTGTAGTTCTATGCTAATGACAGTTCCATCATAAATGTTGTCATTCTGTAGTTCTATGCTAATGACAGTTCCACCATAAATGTTGTCATTCTGTAGTTCTATGCTAATGACAGTTACATAATAAATGCTGTCATACTTTAGTTCTATGCTAATGACAGTTCCATCATAAATGTTGTCATTCTGTAGTTCTATGCTAATGACAGTTCCATCATAAATATTGTCATTCTGTAGTTCTATGCTAATGACAGTTCCATCATAAATGTTGTCATTCTGTAGTTCTATGCTAATGACAGTTCCACCATAAATGTTGCCATTCTGTAGTTCTATGCTAATGACAGTTCCATCATAAATATTGTCATTCTGTAGTTCTATGCTAATGACAGTTCCATCATTAATGTTGTCATTCTGTAGTTCTATGCTAATGACAGTTTCATCAAAAATGTTGTCATTCTGTAGCTCTATGCTAATGACAGTTCCAACATAAATGTTGTCATTCTGTAGTTCTATGCTAATTACAGTTCCATCATAAACGTTGTCATTCTGTAGTTCTATGTTAATGACAGTTCCACCATAAATGTTGTCATTCTGTAGTTCTATGTTAATGACAGTTCCACCATAATTGTTGTCATTCTGTAGTTCTATGCTAATGACAGTTCCATCATAAATGTTGTCATTCTGTGGTTCTATGCTAATGACAGTTACATCATAAATGCTGTCATTCTTTAGTTCTATGCTAATGACAGTTCCATCATAAATGTTGTCATTCTTTAGTTCTATGCTAATGACAGTTCCATCATAAATGTTGTCATTCTGTAGTTCTATGCTAATGACAGTTCCATCATAAATGTTGTCATTCTGTAGTTCTATGCTAATGACAGTTCCATCAAAAATGTTGTCATTCTGTAGTTCTATTCTAATGACAGTTCCATCGTAAATGTCATTCTGTAGCTCTATGCTAATGACAGTTCCAACATAAATGTTGTCATTCTGTAGTTCTATGCTAATGACAGTTCCACCATAAATGTTGCCATTCTGTAGTTCTATGCTAATGACAGTTCCATCATAAATATTGTCATTCTGTAGTTCTATGCTAATGACAGTTCCATCATTAATGTTGTCATTCTGTAGTTCTATGCTAATGACAGTTTCATCAAAAATGTTGTCATTCTGTAGCTCTATGCTAATGACAGTTCCAACATAAATGTTGTCATTCTGTAGTTCTATGCTAATTACAGTTCCATCATAAACGTTGTCATTCTGTAGTTCTATGTTAATGACAGTTCCACCATAAATGTTGTCATTCTGTAGTTCTATGTTAATGACAGTTCCACCATAATTGTTGTCATTCTGTAGTTCTATGCTAATGACAGTTCCATCATAAATGTTGTCATTCTGTGGTTCTATGCTAATGACAGTTACATCATAAATGCTGTCATTCTTTAGTTCTATGCTAATGACAGTTCCATCATAAATGTTGTCATTCTTTAGTTCTATGCTAATGACAGTTCCATCATAAATGTTGTCATTCTGTAGTTCTATGCTAATGACAGTTCCATCATAAATGTTGTCATTCTGTAGTTCTATGCTAATGACAGTTCCATCAAAAATGTTGTCATTCTGTAGTTCTATTCTAATGACAGTTCCATCGTAAATGTCATTCTGTAGCTCTATGCTAATGACAGTTCCAACATAAATGTTGTCATTCTGTAGTTCTATGCTAATGACAGTTCCATCATAAACGTTGTCATTCTGTAGTTCTATGCTAATGACAGTTCCATCATAAATGTTGTCATTCTGTAGTTCTATGCTTATGACAGTTCCATCATAAATGTTGTCATTCTGTAGTTCTATGCTAATGACAGTTCCATCATAAATATTGTCATTCTGTAGTTCTATGCTAATGACAGTTCCATCATAAATGGTGTCATTCTGTAGTTCTATGGCAATGACAGTTCCATCATAAATGTCATTCTGTAGTTCTATGCTAATGACAGTTCCACCATAATTTTATTTCTCTCTCCAGAGCCTGAAGGATCTTCCATAGTGGTGTGTGCTGTATGGTGTTAAAGTCAAGTGGGGAGTTCAAAGGACAGTTCCATTATATGTTGTATGTTGGTTTAAGGATGTATTTAACCATAATCTTCTAAATCTGACCCTCATGCTGTATTCTGTTTTCCACATCATTGACCAGTGGCTATTTAACCATTATTTTTTAAATCTGACCAGCATGTAGGATTGTGTTTCTCTTGAATGGCCAATGGCTGTCTTTTCTTTATTTTATTGAAATAAATTGCTATTTTATTGATTAAGATTTTCAGTTAGGGTTTGTATCTCTAAAAATTATATTTTCTTTAAATTGTGTAGTTTTGATTCTTAAAAACCATAACAAACCATAAGCCATTTAATCTGATCACCATAATTTCTTTACAGATATAGGTAACTCATCAACAACTATAAGAGGTCTAGATGACCACAACAGTATGGCCAGTGGAGAGGATAGTCTAGATGACCACAACAGTATGGCCAGTGGAGAGGATAGTCTAAATGACCACAACAGTGGAGAGGACATCTCAACATATTTTACAGGTAATGTCCATTTGTTTGCCTTTTATATAGAAAATGCATGCATCAAATACAAAATGTTATCAATGAGGCTAGTGAAAGTTTCTGCACTGATGAAGTCCTTGTGTTCCTTTAATTGCATGATGGTGATGGTTGAGATGGTTGTGACAGTTGGATGTTGTAGATAGTTTTCATGTTTTATGTTTGTCAAAGTTTAACTGCTAATGAAATGTTTACAGTAATATTGTTTTGTTTACCTGTACAGGTACACATGAAGTACAAGAATGTCTTGAAGGTCAAGGTGAGGTAGATCTACACACACACCTGGCAAACTGTGAGAAAAATCCTGGCCATAAAAACTTTGTACCTGTAAATAAGTTAAGTCTTGAACATTTTCCTTCTGGTTACCATGACAACGACCTGTATGACCTCACAAACGTCCTGGCTGAACTAACTGTCAGGATAGCCGTTAAGTTGACCAGTCCAGACAGACCAGAGTTTGTACCAGGCACTAAAGATCCATATCCTTGCTACAACACCAGGGGACAGAACTCACTGAGGACAGGGACTGGGAGGGTGATGGATGTGACCAAGTACACAGGGGCTACAGGGCATGGATTTGGAGGGTGAGGCGGGTGTTCAAGTGCACAGAGAGAATGAAGTGGCTAACCTACAGAACTTGTCCATGTCCTGAATGTGACCACTCGGACACACCCAGCAAAGTGTAGTGGAAGGTTGATGTGGTGACAGCCAGACATGTGGTTTTTGATGAGAGTGAGGCGAGACAGTCCAGCTGTAGGTTGTGGTTTGATGATGATAAAAGTCCAGTGGTCAACATTTATGGGTGGATGGTGGATGGGTCATACACTGCGGCAGACTGGTGTTGGTTGTCTTGTGCGACACATGACGTAGATGTAGCTGTTAAACTGGAGGAGATGGTGAGGCGGTTTTATGATCTATGTAATGAAGTAAGTGACAAATACACGAGTCGTAGAGATGTGGACAAGCTGACCATTATAGTGTCACATCCTCATGGCTGTTCTAAGCAGGTCTCTGTAGGTCACTGGGTGGACAGGCAAAAGGTGGGGTCTATAAACACCAGGTACACGTACACAACGTCCACCTGTCCAGGTAGCAGTGGGGCTCTGGTCTACACACTGGGGGGTGACTCGTCCAACCATCCCCACAGTGGAGCTAACTCTGGTGGATTAAATTATAGTGGGCTGTGGTTTTACTGAGACTTGTAGTTGTCTGCTCTTGTATAGAATGTAAACAAACATGGCGCCTGTTGGATGTCTGTCTTTTCTAGAATGTAACGAAACATGGCGCCTGTTGGATGTCTGTCTTTTCTAGAATGTAAACAAACATGGCGTCTGTTGCATGTCTGTCTTTTCTAGAATGTAAACAAACATGGCGCCTGTTGGATGTCTGTCTTTTCTAGAATGTAAACAAACACGGCGGCTGTTGAATGTCTGCTCTTAAAATATTTCTTGACATTATTGTAGAGCTTTATTAAAATTTTAATTAATTATCTCATTATTTTTATCAGAGAAAAAGTTGTTGATTGTTTGATTGGGAGTGGAGAAAAAATTGTCGCAAATTGCTTGTAAATATAAACGTAAATAAAGTTTTAAATCAACTCGTTTTCTTTCTCATTTTTGTTTCTGTTTGTATTTTGTATGAAGCGACTCTAAACATTAACCCTAATGTTTGGATCTAGCAACTCTCAATATTGACGCTAAAGTTTGCATTCCCAAAATTGATGCTAAAGTTTGGATCTAGTGACTCTCAATTTCGACGCTAAATTTAGATCTCAAAACTGACGTTAAAATTTGTCAGGAAACTGAAACTCTACTTCATCTTCCCTATAGATCTTAAGATCTAGTCTTCCTTACTGTACTTGACTTAAGTTGACAATTTAACACTTAAGTCATGATCGATCCCTTGATATGACTGTATACGACTTAACAATCTATCAATCTTAATTAATAGCTAATTGAAAATGTGTTAAATTTCACATATTTTCGTTGTTTCTATAGCAACTTGATCTTCTAGATCCTGCCAGTTTGGTCTATAAAGTAAATTATAGGAAGAATTGGATAGATAAAAAGCAATGAACATTTTTATGGTGTCTGCTATAAAACAGACATAAACGTGGGATCTAACTAGGAGGAATAAAAAAATGCGTTTTGACGGTCAAAGGGAAATAACAATTAAAAAAGAAAAATATTTAAGAAACATGAATTATGTACCTTTAAATAATTTTAGCTAGTGTCAATGTAATATTTATTTCATATTTGTCACACAAAGTTAGATATGTAATTGTTATCACACAACGCCAGGTATCTAATTATTTTAGTGACACCGATGATCGTTGTAAGTAAAATGTTTGTATTTGTTACAAGGCAGTTTTTACATTGAGTGTCAACATTCAAAATTTGTAAATACCTAATTGCTCATTAAATGTCATAGCTTTATACAGGCGTTAAAATAATCGTTCACAAACACTGGACTGGCATGACCAAGCTTTATTCGGGCGATAAAATAAACGTACATAAACACTGGACTGACATGACCAAGTTTTATACGGGCGGTAAAATAAACGTACACAAACACTGGACTGACATGACCAAGTTTTATACGGGCGGTAAAATAAACGTACACAAACACTGGACTGACATGACCAAGTTTTATACGGGCGGTAAAATAAACGTACACAAATACTGGACTGACATGACCAAGTTTTATGCGGGCGGTAAAATAAACGTACACAAACACTGGACTGACATGACCAAGTTTTATACGGGCGGTAAAATAAACGTACACAAACACTGGACTGACTAGACCAAGCTTTATATGGGCGGTAAAATAAACGTACACAAACACTGGACTGGCATGACCAAGCTTTATACGGGCGGTAAAATAAACGTACACAAACACTGGACTGGCTATAAAGTGTATCCAGGTCAAGGTGACACTTGTGTATGATTTCATCTGGAACATCTACACACACTTTGACGTGACGTCATTAGGTAATCAAAGCTGTCTTACCTGATGTCGTGACGTCATTAGGTAACCAAAGCTGTCTGACCTGATGAAATAAAACATTAATACGACAGCCTGTAGGTCAAGAATACAGCCGTGGCGAGTGTTGATTAGCTTGATTAGGGTGTTACAGTTAATAGAACTTTAAAAATAAAATTAATAATACTTGATTGGAATTCAATACAGCAGTAACTAATAACACATGAATACACATTGGCCTGGTGACATTATTTTTAGTTTTAAATCATTCTATGTATGACTTAATATCAACTATGTGTTGATTTATCGTATACCTAATTCAATCATTAGTAGCACGTAGTATAGGCCGCAACATAATTAGCTTAACTCAAACAATTTTTACTATTTTAAAAAGGTTAATTTATTATCTTTGAATCTATCCATTTACTACTTTAATTATTAACATTCTTTAAGAAAAAGATGTATAAAAATTATTGACATAATTACTATAAAACGAAGGAACATGAAAATGCGGTATCGATACCGCTAATAGTGTACCTAGTTTGTGAGATATTTTGCATAGTCTGCTAAACGGATAAACCTAAAATAAATATGCTAGTTAGGAAGTTTAATAAATAATAAAAATAATCCCACTAAAAACAGAGTTCGTCTCAATGTTTTACTATTTCAAGTAAATTTTTGAAAACTCAACTTTTAAACTCAATATGAGATTACCAAAAACAAGTAAAAAGTTGAAATAAAAATTATACGGCGATAACGGCCAATAACTGCTAATAAGGAGGGCATATATGATTGGAATCATAATCGCGTTCTATCGTTTTTTAAACGGTTAACATACCAATGCGAACGACTACATTTGAATTAGATTTTTTTTGTGCACGAAAGAGCCTGTGACGTCGTATTTATTTACTTGTAAATCGAGCTACTCTATAGCAACCTAAACTTTTATATAGTTTAAGTGCTATTTTCGTCTTACGGTCTAAGGGAAGTAACAATTAAAATATAAAATTTCTTTAAGGAACTCCAATTACGTACCTTTTTTGTGTCAGTTTAAAATTCATCTGCATTCTAATTTTTTCTCATGATCTTGTGTATGAAAGTAATAAAATCAAATAATTCTTTTAAAACAGTGATTTTAAGATTTTTTCTTGATGTGTTGCCCTAATTAAGACTGCTGCTTAATTAAGTCAGATCTGTTGGCCTAATTAAATAAACTCTTAAGGTCAGACCTGGTTCACATGACGCTTGTCATCTGACGGTCAACTCTACTTCACCTACACTACCCTGACATAGGAGAAGGCCTAGTTAACTTACGTCATCGTTGGATGTTTTGTTGACAAGCCATTGTGTGACTTCTTTTCATAAAGTTTTAGTATTGCTTTTGTTGAGAAGCCATTGTAGGACTTCGTTTCTTAAAGTTTTAGTATTGCTTTTGTTACCTAGCATAAAGCTTAATGATATCTTAAAGTTTCAGTATTGCTTCTGTTACCTAGCATACAGATTAATGATATCTTAAAGTTTCAATATTGATTCTGTTACTTAGCATACAGATTAATGATATCTTAAAGTTTCAGTATTGATTCTGTTACCTAGCATAACGATTAATGATATGCGGTTGGTAGGTATCTTTAAATCCAATTTAGCATGTTATGAGGTACCTACCATTCTTCAATTTCCTTTCCTTCAGCATTGAGGTCAAGGTTACCCCAGCATTGAGGTCAGGGTTACCCCAGCATTGAGGTCAGGGTTACCCCATCATTGAGGTCAGGGTTACCCCAGCATTGAGGTCAGGGTTACCCCAGCATTGAGGTCAGGGTTACCCCAGCATTGAGGTCAGGGTTACCCCAGCATTGAGGTCAGGGTTACCCCAGCATTGAGGTCAGGGTTACCCCAGCATTGAGGTCAGGGTTACCCCAGCATTGAGGTCAGGGTTACCCCAGCATTGAGGTCAGGGTTACCCCAGCATTGAGGTCAGGGTTACCCCAGCATTGAGGTCAGGGTTACCCCAGCATTGAGGTCAGGGTTACCTCAGCATTGAGGTCAGGGTTACCCCAGCATTGAGGTCAGGGTTACCCCAGCATTGAGGTCAGGGTTACCCCAGCATTGAGGTCAGGGTTACCCCAGCATTGAGGTCAGGGTTACCCCAGCATTGAGGTCAGGGTTACCCCAGCATTGAGGTCAGGGTTACCCCAGCATTGAGGTCAGGGTTACCCCAGCATTGAGGTCAGAGTTACCCCAGCATTGAGGTCAGGGTTACCCCAGCATTGAGGTCAGAGTTACCCCAGCATTGAGGTCAGGGTTACCCCAGCATTGAGGTCAGAGTTACCCCAGCATTGAGGCCAGGGTTACCCCAGAATTAAGGTCAGGGTTACCCCAGAATTAAGGTCAGGGTTACCCCAGCTCTGAGAGTGGCTGTTCTTGTCTCCCACACACAAGCAATCTTTGATGTTGATAGACAGATGCGGTCAAGTGGATAGAATACGTTGATGTTACATTCTGGGAGTGTGTTTAGACCTTAATGATGCTGCATCTAAATATACTCTTTGAATTGCCACTAAGTCATCAGACTTTAATGATGCTACATCTAAATATACTCTTTGAATTGCCACTTAGTCATCAGACCTTAATGATGCTACATCTAAATATACTCTTTGAATTGCCACTTAGTCATCAGACCTTAATGATGCCACATCTAAATATACTCTTTGAATTGCCACTTAGTCATCAGACCTTAATGATGCTACATCTAAATATACTCTTTGAATTGCCACTTAGTCATCAGACCTTAATGATGCTACATCTAAATATACTCTTTGAATTGCCACTTAGTCATCAGACCTTAATGATGCTACATCTAAATATACTCTTTGTATTGCCACTTAGTCATCAGACCTTAATGATGCTACATCTAAATATACTCTTTGATTTGCCACTTAGTCATCAGACCTTAATGATGCTACATCTAAATATACTCTTTGAATTGCCACTTAGTCATCAGACCTTAATAATGCTACATCTAAATATATACTCTTTGAATTTCCACTTAGTCATCAGACCTTAATGATGCTACATCTAAATATACTCTTTGAATTGCCACTTAGTCATCAGACCTTAATAATGCTACATCTAAATATACTCTTTGAATTGCCACTAAGACATCAGACCTTAATGATGCTACATCTAAATATACTCTTTGAATTGCCACTTAGTCATCACACCTTAATGATGCTACATCTAAATATACTATTTGAATTGCCACTTAGTCATCAGACCTTAATAATGCTACATTTAAATATACTCTTTGAATTGCCACTTAGTCATCAGACCTTAATGATGCTAAATCTAAATATACTCTTTGAATTGCCACTTAGTCATCAGACCTTAATAATGCTACATCTAAATATACTCTTTGAATTGCCACTTAGTCATCAGACCTTAATGATGCTAAATCTAAATATACTCAACACTATCCCCGGTAGAGAAGTGACACAGACCCTCCTACCCGTTTAATTGCATTAATTTACTGATGTTCATCGCTAACACGGTACAATCTACTATTTACCGTTAACGTGTTCACATGTATAGGTGTCCATGTCTACATGTGTCCACGTCTAAGGTGTCCATGTCTACAGTAATTTATGTCTACAGGTGTCCATGTCTACAGATGTCCATGTCTACAGGTGTCCATGTCTACAGGTGTCCATGTCTACAGGTGTCCATGTCTACAGGTGTCCATGTCTACAGGTGTCCATGTCTACAGGTGTCCATGTCTACAGGTGTCCATGTCTACAGGTGTCCATGTCTACAGGTGTCCATGTCTACAGGTGTCCATGTCTACAGGTGTCCATGTCTACAGGTGTCCATGTCTACAGGTGTCCATGTCAACAGGTGTCTATGTCTACAGCCGTCTATGTCTACAGCTGTCTATGTCTACAGGTGTCCATGTCTATATCATACTATAAATGTATCCACAACGATTTAAAGTACAGGGTGAAAAGCTCATGTTAAATTCTAACAAAATATTTACACCCGGCTCGAGTAGATACCAGTGTATCTTTCAAGTCTGATCTTTTAAAACCACTCAAGCGTGACGTGTAAAGAAATAAAACCCCGTGTCTGGTATATAACTTAGGTGACTTCTTGTTCACGTCACATATCACTTCCTTACACAACTGGTGTGTGCACTGTTTGTGATTAAATTTCAAATCGGTAATTCAATTAGGTAATTAATTAGGCGTTTGTTGATTTTATATTTTAATCGGTAATTATTTTATCTTTAAATTATTGGTTAATAGGTTAGCCACGATATTTTAAGTAATTTTAAATTATTTCTCAGAATAAAATTGAAAGTAAGTAAATCGATCACCTCGAATGATGGCCGGCATTACAAGTAATTAACCCTGTATCATTATGTTTTGATAATCGGTACTTTCTTTAATCTAATTACTATTTATATTTGCTTAAAAGGGATACGGTTAGGGTATTATCTATAAATATATTTTATAGGTAGTTTGGCCGCATTATTCTAATTAGCCCTACTTTTATTACAGCAAATACTTGTTTCCTCTGAATAAAATTAACATTAATTGTATTAATAACCTCCAAATATAGCTGTTATTATAATTAACATTGCATCGCCATTTTTTGGTTTATTGGTAATTTAGTTAATCAAATTACCAAACAAGTGTCGACCATTTGAAATCGATACTCTTTAAATATCGATATAGTAATTAATGTATTTTCCCGCCGTTCTTAAGCAATGCACAGATTTATATAAATAGGAAACAATTAAATTAAATTAACATTATCGTAAAGAAAACATAAAATCAATAATATATATTCGCAATTATTATTTCTGAAAACAGCTTAAACATTTATACATTTATTTTTTTTAAATTAGTTATCCACAGGTTGATATCAGATTCGATACTAGTTTGTAAACGGCGATACCATCTTAAGGTCAGGAGAGCCAAATTGCCAAATTGGCAGAAATTATTCTTTCAATTTACAAGTTACATTAGAAGTAAAAGCATATGATATTAAATATTACAAGCATACCTGCTTTTCTTATTGGGTTATAAACATGGCGACCACCACCAGGAGTTCTAGAAGACAATCAGCGACTTGAAGGAGGAGGGGAAGCTAATTGGGCTGATTGATGACAGTTTGGCGGAGTGGGTGAAGGAAGAGTTGAGGAGGGTAGAAGATGTGAAGGGCGATGTCGTGGAAAAGTAAGTCACCCTGTACCCCGCTTGTGAGACGTGGCGGCAATGAAGGGAGACGAGAACTAATGTGGACAGTGCTGACCAGACTATCCCTTCATATGGATAACCTGTGAACACATATATAGGTCATGATATTGTAAAAGGCAGGTGCATCAGACCAGGTGTATCAGGTGTGTTGTATAACAGGCCATGTGCATCAGGTATGGTATGTAACAGGCAGTAGTTCTCTTCATATCATCAAGTGTGTGTGACATAACCACGTCATAGCCACTGGGTCTGATGACTAAGTGGCAATTCAAAGAGTATATTTAGATGTAGCATCATTAAGGTCTGATAACTAAGTGGCAATTCAAAGAGTATATTTAGATTTAGCATCATTAAGGTCTGATGACTAAGTGGAAATTCAAAGAGTATATTTAGATGTAGCATCATTAAGGTCTGATGACTAAGTGGCAATTCAAAGAGTATATTTAGATGTAGCATCATTAAGGTCTGATGACTAAGTGGCAATTCAAAGAGTATATTTAGATGTAGCATCATTAAGGTCTGATGACTAAGTGGCAATTCAAAGAGTATATTTAGATGTAGCATCATTAAGGTCTGATGACTAAGTGGCAATACAAAGAGTATATTTAGATGTAGCATCATTAAGGTCTGATGACTAAGTGGCAATTCAAAGAGTATATTTAGATGTAGCATCATTAAGGTCTGATGACTAAGTGGCAATACAAAGAGTATATTTAGATGTAGCATCATTAAGGTCTGATGACTAAGTGGCAATTCAAAGAGTATATTTAGATGTAGCATCATTAAGGTCTGATGACTAAGTGGCAATTCAAAGAGTATATTTAGATGTAGCATCATTAAGGTCTGATGACTAAGTGGCAATTCAAAGAGTATATTTAGATGTTGCATCATTAAAGTCTGATGACTTAGTGGCAATTCAAAGAGTATATTTAGATGTAGCATCATTAAGGTCTGATGACTAAGTGGCAATTCAAAGAGTATATTTAGATGTAGCATCATTAAGGTCTGATGACTAAGTGGCAATTCAAAGAGTATATTTAGATGTAGCATCATTAAGGTCTGATGACTAAGTGGCAATTCAAAGAGTATATTTAGATGTAGCATCATTAAGGTCTGATGACTAAGTGGCAATTCAAAGAGTATATTTAGATGTTGCATCATTAAAGTCTGATGACTTAGTGGCAATTCAAAGAGTATATTTAGATGTAGCATCATTAAGGTCTGATGACTAAGTGGCAATTCAAAGAGTATATTTAGATGTAGCATCATTAAAGTCTGATGACTAAGTGGCAATTCAAATAGTATATTTAGATGTAGCATCATTAAATTATTGAGTGCACCAGCCGTATGTTGTGTTAATTTAATGAATGCACTAGCGGTACGTAAGATCAATGCTGTTTAAATCTAAACTTACTTTAGAAACAGGTAAGAGTTACAAGTCCCAGTAGGCCTACATCACAAGTCTTGTAAAGATTGTAGACCAGCGACACAATGTGGGCCGTGATCTTTATTGTAGCCCAGTGTATCATCACACCAGGTTAGTTGTGTTTGTTGTAAAAGTGCTATATATAAATCTTCGAGTCCCATACCCAAACTTAGCAAATTAATGTTTCTGTGTAGAGAACACAAACTTACTCGCAAATACTTTTGTACTTATAGGACAAAACTCAGACTTAAATTAAAACAATTTTAATTTCGCAGGCATAAATATTCGTAAATTGATAAATATTATTTGAAGGTTACTATATATATATATATATATATATATATATATATATATATATATATATATATATATATATATATATATATATATATATATATACATATATATGGTAACCTTCAAATGATATTTGAATATATATATATATATATATATATATATATATATATATATATATATATATATATATATATATATATATATATATATGTATGTATGTATGTATTTATACCTCGGCCCTTTTTACTTTAGTAATGAGGATGCCAATTAGTAAATACTTACTGCTTCTCTGATCTCGGCACTTGATATTAAACTGGCTTTACTTTCTGTAACTACATGTTAAATATTTACTTTTTAAAACAAGGTAAACTATAATATTTTGAACTAAGGGTCGTCTAAGGACTCAAGTCTAGGAAAAAAACTCTAGTCGTTCAAGTTAACGTGTTTATGCATTTCGTTCCAACCATAAAATTTAAAACGTTACATTTTTTCTTCGCTTAAAGCCCAGTCAATAGAACCAATACAACAAACCCAGTATAAAGCTGTTGATGACACAAACGTGACCACACTGCCCATCTATGTTGAGTTTGACCAAGTCAGTCTTTTTTCCTGCGCCTCACGTTGTTCAAGTTCCAACAAAACGTGCTACAGCTACATCTACAACAAAACCAGAAGACATTGTAGCCTGTGTGAGTTCCCATGTTTTCAGAGGCGTAGCAAAGGGAAAGGGGGCGGCTACATCCAGTTTTTGATCGACACAGTTTATCAATCAGAAAACATAAATATTAAATTATATCAGCTAAATCCTTTACAGAAAATCATTTTAATGCTATATCCTTAAAACAATTTAAATACATTTTTCTTGAATCCTTAAGCAGCTAAATCCAAATTTAAATACAATCTTGAATATGTAACAATAATTTGTCACAAAAAATCACTTGAAACCTTAATTTGTATTTGAATATGACAATGGTTGATTCTTCATTTTATAATAGCATCATTAGAAAACCAATTTTGACTTGAATGTACATCGTAGACCTCGTAACAATTATAGGACCACTTTTGGCTTGAATGTTCCAATTTTGTAGATTACTGGGAGACCACTTCTGACACCAATGTAACACCGTTGTTTTTGTGACAACTAGATGGTATTGTGAGTTATTCTTTCTTCAAAGATAGACGAATGTGACTTTACGTATTTTTAGGCGAATGTGGCTTTACGCCTAGATAGGCGAATGTGACTTACGTCTTGTTTGGGAAATGTGACTTTACGTTTTGGTAGAGGAATGTGACTTGACGTAATAGTATGGGAGCTGGACTTAACATCTTCTCTATTTGGGATATTGTCATTTGTAAACCGACAAATCCACAATCTCCAACTACTCTAAAATGCTAAGAGCCTTCAAGACTGCTTTAGCGAAAATAATATTTTAGTGAATATTTAGCCTACTTACAAATATTTGATATAGAGTGAATAATCTGTAGTATTCAATGAATAAATTGTGTTACGTGTAACAGGATCCTGGCTTGTCCCAATGAAAACTTTACAACAAAATGTTCAGGGGAAAATGTTCTCTAGTGGAAAGTTCACGGTCCTGTCTGATGGTTCCATCTCACAAACAGACTTCCTGTTTTGTACAGGTATGTAACGTCATATTATTTTTGGTTTAAATGATGAATTTAAAAAATGTGTACACGATGTATTATTATATATTGCATTTGATAAGCTACTATTTGTTTATTTGGGAAAACATTTACTAACCATGTGTTTTAACTAAAAGCACATAAAGTAGTGTACATAAGCCACCTCCTTAATTTGCGCAAATTTTCCTTGTCTTTTTGTTTGTAATATGCTGGACACACTTCGCTGTTCTACTCTTTATACTAAATTGTAAGGGAACATTTTATTTCTTAGGCCAGCGCGTCATCCAAACTTTGGTGATCATAAACTCTGAACTTCAGGTCATGTGTGACACAGTGACAGACGGTGGAGGATGGACCATTTTCCAAAGACGTGTTTCTGGTCCTGTAAATTTTTACAGGAACTGGACGGAATATAAAATTGGTGATTTTAGTTCAGGTAATTTTTACCTGGGCAATTAGAACATTTATCTCTTAACGTCAAACCGTCAAACAGAACTGAGAGTGGATATGATCTTCAATGGGACAAATTATTTTGCCAAATATTCCAGCTTCAACATTTCTAGCGAGGCAGACAACTACAGGCTATATGTTAGTGGCTTCACAGGAAATGTCGTGGACAGTCTAGCCGCACTAAATGGCATGATGTTCACAATATTTGACCGCGATAATGACATATGGCCTGGTAACTGTGCAAGTCTCCATCGTGGAGCGTGGTGGTTTCGTGATTGCTCGTACGCTCATCTTAACGGGGTTTGGGGTACACTCAATTGGAGAACAAATTCCAACGCAACATTCAGTGAAATGAAATTTAGAGCAGTTTAACATTAGGAATTTCAATTTTAAGCTCATGAATTAATCATACTGTTTAATTTGGTATCTATTAAATAGGCATTCAAAAGTTTTGTAACCTATTATTTTATTTAATATTTGTATTTTCACATTGTTTTAACTAAAAGAAAAACATAAATAACGGATTCTTCCTTTGTCCATACACTTTTGACGAGAGGTGTTCAACATATCCCTTGCGGAGGATGCTTAAATTTTATTGAATGTATGGTTTTTTTTCTTATGCAGCAAAGACAGAGATATGTAAAGATTATAGACAGAACATCAGGTCAGACATCTAAAAATACATCAGTGATAACAATTAAATTAAGTTTGTCAATAATTATTTTTTGTTTTGAGATCGCCGCAGCGCGCGTGACCTGTTCGAATATTCTATGTAAAAAAATTTTTTAAAGTTTTAAAGTTTGTGGCTTGTATCCAGCTTGTACACTTCAGTCCAGAGTGTGGCTTGTATCCAGCTTATACACTTCGGTCCAGAGTGTGGCTTGTATCCAGCTTGAACACTTCGGTCCAGAGTGTGGCTTGTATCCAGCTTGTACACTTCGGTCCAGAGTGTGGCTTGTATCCAGCTTGAACACTTCGGTCCAGAGTGTGGCTTGTATCCAGCTTGTACACTTCGGTCCAGAGTGTGGCTTGTATCCAGCTTGTACACTTCGGTCCAGAGTGTGGCTTGTATCCAGCTTGTACACTTCAGTCCAGAGTGTGGCTTGTATCCAGCTTGTACACTTCGGTCCAGAGTGTGGCTTGTATCCAGCTTGTACACTTCGGTCCAGAGTTTGGCTTGTATACAGCTTGTACACTTCTGTCCAGAGTGTGGCTTGTATCCAGCTTGTACACTTCGGTCCAGAGTGTGACTTGTACCCAGCTTGTACACTTCGGTCCAGAGTGTGGCTTGTACCCAGCTTGTACACTTCGGTCCAGAGTGTGGCTTGTACACTTTGGTCCAGAGTGTGGCTTGTATCCAGCTTGTACACTTTGGTCCAGAGTGTGGCTTGTATCTAGCATGTACATTTTTGTCCAGAGTGTGTCTCAGCCTTTGTCTCCGGCTGGGCACCAAGCTCATGACCTAACTATTTAAGCAACCTATATCGATACATGTGCAAAGCTTAGAAAATCAGGCAAAAAATTAATACCTACAACATTATTTAGACTTAAGACAATACAGTCTACCGACTAGCATAGTTGCCCAAAGTGTAATACAACAAGCTGAACAATTATACAATAATTTACAGAAAGCTTTTGATATTAATTTAGTAAATGGGTAGAATGATTTTAAATATGTTTTTAAAAAGTACTTACTAAAGAATAATATGGTATAAAAAGGAAATGTATTTAAAATGAATAATATAAATACACAAAAAACATAAAAATAGACATAACACGAAACACGAAACACCATAACATATACAAAGCTTTCATGTTTTATATTGTTATGACCGACTTGAGAATTAGAGGTCTTATGGCTAAGATAAAATAAAAAAGATTTTCAAAACAGACTAATGCAATCATTCACATGACATGTTGATGTATTTTGTTTTAATTGAAAAAAAAAACATTTTTTTCAAAACCCGATTTGGCCAGAAATGAATACCTTATGTTCGTATTTTGTGTTTATATATATAAGTATAAATATAAATATAAATATAAATATAAATATAAATATAAATATATATATATATATATATATATATATATATATATATATATATATATATATATATATATATATATATATATATATATTTATATTTATATTTATATTTATATTTATATTATATTTATATTTATATTTATATTTATATTTATATTTATACTTATATTTATACTTATACTTATACTTATACTTATACTTATACTTATACTTATACTTATACTTATACTTATACTTATACTTATACTTATACTTATACTTATACTTATACTTATACTTATACTTATACTTATACTTATACTTATACTTATACTTATACTTATACTTATACTTATACTTATACTTATACTTATACTTATACTTATACTTATACTTATACTTATACTTATACTTATACTTATACTTATACTTATACTTATACTTATACTTATACTTATACTTATACTTATACTTATACTTATACTTATACTTATACTTATACTTATACTTATACTTATACTTATACTTATACTTATACTTATACTTATACTTATACTTATACTTATACTTTACTTATACTTATACTTATACTTATACTTATACTTATACTTATACTTATACTTATACTATACTTATACTTATACTTTACTTTTACTTTACTTTTACTTATACTTTTACTTTACTTATACTTATACTTATACTTATACTTATACTTATACTTATACTTATACTTATACTTATACTTATACTTATACTTATACTTATACTTATACTTATACTTATACTTATACTTATACTTATACTTATACTTATACTTATACTTATACTTATACTTTATACTTATACTTATACTTATACTTATACTTATACTTATACTTATACTTATACTTATACTTATACTTATACTTATACTTATACTTATACTTATACTTATACTTATACTTATACTTATACTATACTTATACTTATACTTATACTTATACTTATACTTATACTTATACTTATACTTATACTTATACTTATACTTATACTTATACTTATACTTATACTTATACTTATACTTATACTTATACTTATACTTATACTTATACTTATACTTATACTTATACTTTATACTTATACTTATACTTATACTTATACTTATACTTATACTTATACTTATACTTATACTTATACTTATACTTATACTTATACTTATACTTATACTTATACTTATACTTATACTTATACTTATACTTATACTTATACTTATACTTACTTATACTTATACTTATACTTATACTTATACTTATACTTATACTTATACTTATACTTATACTTATACTTATACTTATACTTATACTTATACTTATACTTATACTTATACTTATACTTATACTTATACTTATACTTATACTTATACTTATACTTATACTTATACTTATACTTATACTTATACTTATACTTATACTTATACTTATACTTATACTTATACTTAATACTTATACTTATACTTATACTTATACTTATACTTATACTTATACTTATACTTATACTTATACTTATACTTATACTTATACTTATACTTATACTAATACTTATACTTATACTTATACTTATACTTATACTTATACT